AAGTTGGACCGATTTTGCATGAGTAAAGGACATGCCGTATCCAACTCCCAACCTGAGGGACCGAGAGATTGAATTCGTGGCTCCCTAGATGTTTAGTGGTACGATTCTGTTTAATATGTTAGGTCGGAAATATTTACAAAGCGTCATGCCATGTTACTGTTTGCTCACGCTTCGCCGCGTGGAATATATTTGTTTAAGTAACCCGGAATGAATCATTAAGTTCTTTACACCACCTATTCCATTCCAGCTAATGAGCGTCTGTGAGAATATCACGGTTTATAAGTCTGTTCGAGGTGACCTTGCTCATACCTCCTGTAAAAGTATTACTTTCACCAGAAATAGGCCCAGATACCATGATAAGATCACCTTTGACACTGCTTTCTTCTGATTTTTCCCGAAACCTGGCCATTCCTACTTCGGGGTCTAACAGATGCTTCAAATTATCTAACTCAGACTATTTTAGCTCTGCTATGGTCAATACAGTTGACGAACGACGGGAGATACTGCTATGATCAATCTTACGCCTTACATGTGAATCAGAGCATGAGGCATCATCGTAGTAGTCATGAAAAGCATCAACAATACGCCGGTACGCAGTCCCGACCTTTCGCTGCCACGCAACCACCAACGGTTGCACGCGCGCTAAGGATACTGCGAGGGTCAACCTGCCCCTGCGCAGGCTCGAACCCCTGCCGTCAGATTACAAGGCAAGTTTGTTACTTTAAAGCCACGGGCCGGCGATTGTCATCAGCGACTTTCCAGATTGGTTCATCTCCCAGGGGCTTTTCAAGATTTGCCTTCTGTATAAACATTGTTCGATGTGACAGCCTCAGTTTTCACATTCACTCCAGAGTGTGACTCAATGTTGCGTTTTGGAACTACAACTTAAAATCGAACGAAGAACTGTCGAGTACAGTACTCAATACTGCTTCCTCGTTTTTGTGTGTAGTTTGGAGTACCGTACTCAATAGGTCTTCGCTTGCTTTTAATTTCTTGTCCCAGTAAAGATTACTTCACGCTTTAGAGTGGGTTTGAAAATTGAGCCTGTCACATCGGACAATGCCTACACAGAAGGCTAATTCCGTAAATTTCGTGAGAGATGAACCATTCTGGCAATTCGCTGATGACTATTATGATGATGCTTCATGCTCTGATTTACGTGTAAGCCGTAAAATTGGTCATAGTAGTATTTCCCTTCGTTCGTCCACTGTATTGACTTTAACAGTTTAAAACAGGCAGTTAGATTTGCATACTGGGAAGCGTATGTTAGATCTTGAAGTAGTAGTGGTTAAGCTTCAGGAAGAATTAGTAGAAAGCAATATCAGCTATGATCTTACCATAGTATCTGCGCCTATTTCATGTGAAAAGAACCCACGCAGAGGGGATTTTGTTGAAGAGTGTCGAATGTATGCAGCTGAGGCTTACGATCACAGAGCCACTCTGGATGGCTTAGTGCCACAGCAGCGCATGCAGCTAAATCTACCAAAGGTTGAGCTAGAGTATTTCCTTGGCAACCCTGCCACATATTGGAATATTGTTAAGCAGTTCAGCTACTTCGTCGAAACCCTCGGTGTTTGATAATGGGCAGCGATTGCTTTATTTGTTACACTATTGTCGTGGCAGTACCAAGTGTGTGATCGTACGAGAGAGCAAAAAATGTTCTTACCGAGCTCTTCGAAGAAAGCCATTTGGTGGCTAGACCGTTAATTGATGGTCTCATGACTTCCTTGAGGTCGTTCCCCGTCCACTCCGAAGACTTGTCTAAGTTGTTTTTGAAAATGGAAAATTGCCGCATCATTATGTTGCAGCTAAACTTCACTGTCGATTTGGATTCCACTACAACCATTGAACACGTAATACGCGTATTACCGACCAGTTCTCAGACCCGGTGGGCATGGGTAGACTGCCCGTTTACTCATGGTGGGCGGGAACTCGACTTATAGAATTTGGCCGACTTCCTTGCTGTGGAGTAGGTTCGGCCAGATCGCCTCAAGTCCGTCTCGACAACATTCAGATGCAAGGCTACCGCAAGTTGAGAACAAACGAAACGATCGTAGCCGCGTTTTCTACACCTAGTCAAGTGATTCTTCTAGAGGTGTGTTTGACTTGAGGTAGTGAAAATGTCACCGCCTCGTGCCGCAGTTTTCTTGCTTCATACGTTCCTAGCAGGTACAAGCTCCCAAGGTCCAAAGAGGGTGCTTCAGGTGTCTAAAGGCAGCTCACAGATTTGCAACCTGTCATAACGGCGAAGAATGTAAGGTGCTCATTTGTATAGGGCCTCATCATCTGTTGTTACATTTAGAGGTCAAACAAATGACTTCACTGACTGTTCCAAATACTTCCACTGCTACCTTCGGTGCACAGCGAAAGGTGTTTAGGAGTTTTGTCAGTGCACCTAGAAGACTATATATAGGGTCTTTGAAACTATATGCCTTATTAGTTACAGGTTCCAATATCACTTTAGTAGATAGTTTTATGGAAAAAGTCGGCATCGGGATCGCACCAACTCGTTTGGAATGCACTACAATGATGATGATGATGACGATGTCTGGCTCGTCATCAGTTGGAGCGAGATGCGCAAATTTCACTTTGTTCTCCTTGAATGACACCGATTCGATTTGTTAGGTATGCCTATTGCTTGCCAAGGTTGCCCTTGGAACCCGTTGAGGAAGTTGGCGCGCCAGTGGACACACATGTCGGATGTACCGTTTAATGAAATCGGGGACAGTCGTATCCGATTCCTCTTAGGTTCTAACGTGCCGGAGGCCCATTAGCATTTAGAGAAACTTCTGGGGGACAGGAATCAGCCTTTTGCTGTAAAAACATCGTTTGAACGTTGTTTTACCCAGTTGGAGAGGACAAAACGGTCACTGATTCCGTACCTTACTGCCGGATCAACCAATCAGCCGTTGAAGAGCAACTCGAGAGGTTGTACAACAACAACTATGCCAGTATAGTCACAGGCGATTACTCACCTTCTGCAGAAGACAAGGTCGCATTGGCCGTTGCTCAAAATTTCGTGTATTTGGTATGCGGTCATTTTGCTATCAATCTTTTTTGGCGAAATTCACAGCTGCATGCAGAATAATTATAAGGTCGTTCCGTAGTGGTTACAGAGCTTGCAAGAACGTTTGCAAGCTAACCATTTTTTGTGAAAGGTACGCAGCCGTCATCGAAGCTACCATCACTAACGGCTATGCGGTGTCTGTTTCATAAAACCAGTTGGAACCCAGTTATGTTCAGTAATAAATTTTGAAACCCATTAAGCTACGGGTTCTTGCTTGTGCTGCAAAGTACTTATGTCTCTGTCCGTATGATCAAGTGATACATGATCTGAACAGCACTTCTAATCTTATAGGAAGGCCGGTATGACAAGCGAGCCAGACACCATTATAAACGGATTTTACATTGCCGATTGTTTGATTTCCTTGCCCTCTATCTCTGAAGTACTCCCGTACCTTTTGCAACTTCGGGATTGCTTAACATAGCTAGATTTAAGTTTTGAAATTGGCTCTCTAACACCTCGAACGGGCTCGAGCCCTTGTTGCCTGCCGAGGTTTCGAGCTCGATTAAGCATTTGGGAGAAATACTAGTACTAGTACGGTTCAACTTTAGGACACTCAGGGATGACAGTTGGCTTTTGGTAATGGGAGAGAATTGCACCACACCCGGAACAAAGGCATCAGCAGTACTCCTTACCGGCGCTTAGCTGTTGCGCAACCACCACCGGTCGCACGTGGGCTAAAAATACTGCGGAGTTCGCCCTGACCCTACTCTACCTCGAGCCGGCGTCGTCGGATTACAATACAAGCTTGTTACCTTTGGGCTACGGGCCGGACGGTCCAGTAAGGATAGTCTTCGTTAAAATCAAGAGGGGCGTGTTTGAACGCGCTGTTAGGAGGATCTGCCCTGTAGAAGGCGGCGACTTGGATAAAGTGTCAGTCCCGGTTGTTGGCTCTCCGCAAGTGGGAGGTGGGTTTTCGGTTCTGCCGCTTCCGGATGGACCACTGTGAGTTCAAAAGACCGACGTAAAGAAGTTTAGGCGTACTGTTGTAAGTCCTACTCTTCTCCATAGCAGACGGGGCAGGTTAGGTTGAGCCAGAGTACCACAAGCTGCAAAAGCTGGAATTTCTGTCCGAAATCTTGTGGAGAGTGTAGAAGGATTCCGTTAACATTTGAGCATGGACTACATCCAACGGTCTTATCGCCGGCCCAACACTGCGATTCAGAACTGATGATTTTCAGTCCACATGACCCTTTGTACTTGAACCCTGCAAGCAGACTTCACACTCTGTCGATTTCATCTTCCCCCACACGTGTGCTATCCCATTTGTTTCAATCCCGCCTTGTGGTAACTTGTTTGGGTTCTGTCCACGTATAAAGTTCTCCCTTATCTCTACACTTGCCATCACCATGGGTGTTCACATGCTTTCCGCATTGATTACGACCGCTGTAAACATCTTCAATGCTTAGCCCCACTTCCTGCATTACGTGAACAGCTTGACATCATTCTACTTCAACACTCATCCAGTCTTCGTTCGGTATGTGTAATTAACCAATGGCATCGCATTCACATATCCTATACGACCCAATATCCTGTATTCTCGTTACTCAGTATTTCCACCAAAGCTCCGAAACCTATCTTGTCGGTCTCGGACCGAGTTGCTTTTCATCGAAGCTGCTCTGAATGGTGGCGTTATTATCGTGGTTTGTATTGTTATTACTCCCTGATTTCTTTGTAACTAGTACCGTCCTCCCGGCCCGGTGTTGTTCATTTGGTTGGGTGGAAACGCGTTAGCTCAAAGCCTCCCAAAGCAAACTGTAGCTTTACGTTTATTTTATTTTTATTATAATCCATATTTCACATACGTTTCAACACTTCATCTAAAGTTGGCGCATGTTGCGAATAGTGTATTCTGTCCTATTTCCTTCCTGGCTTCCTTATTTCGGAATATTCCAGTCTTTTTTATTTTTTGCTTCGTTGTCACCGATTTTGTTAGTCCCGGCACATGGCTGCTATTCTGGGTCGTCGTTTGCTGATGAACGAATATGACACCTCCTTCGAGCCTTTATCCGACGAAACTAAAACGGCTGCCAAACAGCAACTGCTGCTCAGTATCATACATGAGTCGGATCAACCAATGCGAAGAAAAGTTGCCGATTTCACTGCAGAATTGGTTCGCTCTGAGCTCGGTAAGTGTCCCATGTAATCCCAAATTTGTGCGCGGTTCCTGTTAACTGTTTCCAACTTGATTACTTTGACATTGTACATGTTCAGCGTACCAAATGTATCTACTTCGTTCGCTACACCCACCTCTGATGATGTACATAGTTTTTGTGGATCTTCGCTTCCTGTAACACTACAATCAAGTTACACTGGTAGTTTAATTCACAACAATATTCATGGTGGTTCGTGGCACTTTCAGATAGCATCCAGCATCAGGCTCACGCATGCGGATACATGTCACTTGTTGACTGATCGACCCTCACCAGCTCATAGGATATCGGATGTGCGTATGATGTGCGACCTATGCGTGCTTTCACGTCCTTGAACTCGGTTTATATTTACTAGCGTGGTGCTCGATGGCCACAGATAAAGAACGCGCTATATGCGAGTTCAACCGCTTTCTGAATTTTAAGTCAGTATTGGTTAGCTACACCGAAACACCCAGCCTGCCATACTGACACTACAGGGGCCTGCTAAATGCGCTACAGTCGATATCCTAGCTCTTGTGCGCATCTACCAGCGTTCTGGACGCAGTTCGTATACACACTGATTGATGCAACGCTAGTAGCAAGTAAAGGTGTGTGGTCACGTACCACATAGAATTGACCATATCACTCATCATCATCAGCGACCAGCAGTATTTTGTATGGGTATCTCCTTGTAATGCAACGACGTTGTCAAGCGGGCTACACATGGACGGCTTCTTAGCGCAATCTACTTAACCAGCTTTTTTGCCGAACTACTCGTATTGCCGACTAGATGATTCGGATTTGTCTCTTTCCAGCAACTAGTTCGTCGACATTGCCGTGTCTTTACCTGGCAAGCATTCTTCCCATAAAAGGCCACAAATACCCACCTAACCATGCTGCGACGTGACGGATGTGACACGCCACTAACTAAAGTTACTAATTCTTTGTGGAGCATTGTTGTCTAGCGGATGAATGCCGAAATAGTGAGATTATTAGGTTCCTTTTTGGCAACTCGCCAAACCCAATGCGTATGAGCTGAAAAATCGACCACCGGTACCCAATGGACGTGATTGCCTGAATTCGCTCCGCTGCCGTTCGGGTAGGCAATTTATCCAAAGTTTCGGGATGAGGTCCATTAAGTTAGTTCCCTACTTTGGCTCTGACAATCGGGTAGTATATCACCCACTTAAGAAACCATAGACTTTTCAGCGTTATGTATAGTCTTCTTTTTACGTACCCCTTGCTTTCCTTTGAATTCCATAACTTTGTACGGCTTCATGTACATTCGCAGGCTGCTGCATATATGTATATATATATATATATATATATATATATATATACATATATATACATATATATATATATATATATGTATATATATATATATGGTTGGCGGCATCCGGTTTCGGATTTGCCTGTCACTGTGGCAAGCCACAGGACGCCTGCGCCTACAGAGGGACCATGGGTGGCTTGCGCTGCACCACCCACAGCTCCAACCACACACCCCATATCCAGTGTAAACCCGAAGGAATAAGACCGGGAGGCATGCGGATGGGAACCACGTTTCATCAACGGAGCCGGCCCACACTCCTTCACAGGCAAACACAAGCACATTGTATTTGGGAATCAAGCGCACACAAGGCGGTGGCTGGACCGTAGTCCGCTCCACACTGAGTGCATGGAACCACTCTTCGAGCCTAACACGGCCACAAGGACCGTGCACCCCGTCCCCTCCAGCAACGACCAACTGTCTCCTGGAGCCAGTATGGACGACGTAGTGGGTATTAGACAGGTAGGCACCTTGTCAACATGCACATCAAGCGCAGCCACACCGGGGATTTCAAACAACAGCCAATCACTTGAGAGAGAGAGAGAGAAAGAAAAAGAGAAAAACTCGATTAATGCATAAGGAAACGGTGACATAAACCTTAATTAAATAGCATACGTAATAAGTTGTTTACAAACAAATCCTAGCTAAGTGCACGAGGTCATGAAGTATAGTTCACGGAATGCCACGAACACAAAAATGTTATGGAAATCGAATACAATTGGCTTAGGCGATCTGAGCAACTTAATGGAATAAAGTACAGGGAGATATTTATATGAGAAAGAAAAGCATTAAGGTAAAAACTGTAAACCCACCACCTGAAATAAAGAGACTTAGCATGCTAGCACGCGATTAGTAAATCGAATTCAGCGTGCCTACAAACGCTGCGCCGGCTCGTCGTAATTCTCTGCAGCACCCGTCGTCGCTTCTGTAGTGGCCCCAAATGACACAGCGCATGGCATGGCCCACTAGACATTTATATGAGAAAGAAAAGCATTAGGAGAGAACCGAAAACCCACCACCTGAAATAAAGAGACTTAGCATGCAAGCATGCGGTTAGTAAATCGAATTCAGCGTGCCTACAAACGCTGCGTCGGTGCTGCCTACGTTCACTGCGGGACCCGTCGTCGCTTCGGCAGTGGTCCCGAGTGACCTCTCTCATGGCTCACTAGGCCTGCCTGACTAAGGCACTCGCGACCGCATGTTCTACAGCACAATGCGCTCGATGTCGATGGAGTACAATTCATCGGTGCTTGCCGCTTCCGCAACTGCCGCTTCTTCTCTGCATGCATGAGGGATTTCTCCCGCACTTCAGCAACTGCCTTCGTGATTAGATCGCGCCATGCACGCCGATCAACCGCCTTCGATTCCCATGATCTGCAATCAAGATTAGAACGTGTGAGGCTCACTTTAATCATGTCCTGGTAACGTAACTTTGGTTTCCCAGCATGCCGCTTCCCAGTACTCAGCTGACCGTATAAAAGTTGTTTCGGTATCCGCGTCAAATCCATACGGCTCACATGACCGAGCCATCTCAGGTGTCTCAGTAAAAGTATGCAGTCCACTGCATACATCCCACTTCGGCGCAACACTTCCGTGTCTGCAACTCTGGTGCCCCAACCGATCCGCAAAATTCGTCGCAGACACTGCTGATGGAACCGCTCGAGATATCGCACATCCCGCCGGTACATCGTCCACGTTTCACTGCCGTATAGAAGAACGGACAGTACCATGGATTTGTACACCATCAGCTTCGTGACAATGCTAAGCTGATGGTTGTTCCACACTCGGTACTCAAGCTTCCCGAATGCCGCTGCCGCCTTCGACACGCGATTACGCAACTCAACGTGTAGTTGCTGATCAGTCGACATCACACTCCCAAGGTAGCAGAAGCGGGAGGTGGTTTCCAATACTTCAGTCTCGGCGTATCCGCCAGATCCGCCTTCACATCGTGCTGCTTCAGGCCATTCAATGTAGGCCAGTCGATCTCTGAACGGTTGTTCAAGAGACAGTCAAAGTGTTTCCGCCAGACCTGCATTATGTCTGCAGTCTGGGTGCAGGTAGCACCTGAACTACCATCGATCAGTGTCCTCAGCGGCTCCAATCTCGGTCCATACACCGCCTTCAAGGAGTCAAAGAATTCCTTGTGTTGACGGCGTTCGGCGTGGTATTCCATCTGCTTCGCCTTCTCCGTCCACCATGCATTTTTAATGCGACGGAGCTCTCGGGTCAGTCGCCGTCGAAGTTTGCGAAACTGACTCTTCTTCCCCAAGTCACTGGGGTCTGCAACATGTGCAGCAAATGCTGCATTCTTCTCTGACACCAATGCGTCAATCGTCACATTGTTGTCATCAAACCAATCAGGCCGCTTACAGTTTGCGCGCCCGATGGTCTCCTCCGCAGCAGCTGTCACCTGGTCGCGAATGTGGTGCCACAGGTCGCCCACTGTGGCTATACAGTCCACATCACCACACAGGCGTGCAGCCATCGCCTTCTCCAGCTCAGTACGTTTCGCCACAGTACCGAGGGAGAGAATGTTAAATTTACGCCGATTCACGGCGGGAGTGCAATACATCGATTTACGAAAATATATGTACAGTTTGGTCCGAACCAATCTGTGATCAGTGCCACACTCAGCTCCACGCAGTACACGTGTCATGCGCACTTCACGCATATCACGCTGACGTACGATGACATAGTCGAGCAGGTGAGCGTGAGCACTCCGTGGGTGCGTCCAAGTTGCTATATCACTCGCACTCAGTGCAAACCGAGTGTTCGTGATCGTCAGGCCGTGAGTGGCACACAGTGAGAGCAGCCTGTCACCGTTCGCATTCGCTGAACCAATGCCATGCTCACCGATAACATCTGTCCACGCTGATGCATCACGCCCAACGCGCGCGTTGAAATCACCCAGCAGAAATAGTCGGTCGCTCTTCGGCACAGACCGTATCACGGAGGATAGCTCAGTGTAGAACTGATCACGCGTGTCATCAGGATAACACATGGTCGGACCGTACGTGCTTATGAAAGTAGCAAACTTACCTCTTCCGAGTCGTAGGCGAACAGTCATCAGCCGCGCGCTGATGCCCGTTGGCTCACCCACCAGCTGGCCATTCAGGCGGTCGGATATTGCAAATCCGACTCCATGTTCACGTGGTGCTGAGGCGGCGTTCCCCACCCAGTAGAATGTGTAGCCAGCACCTGCTTCATGTAACTTACCTTGCTCAGCGAGCCGAGTTTCACTGAGCGCCGCAAGGTCGATGTGGTAGCGCGCCAGCTCCATTGCGACCAGTGCAGTGCGTCGCTCCGGGCGCTCGCTCGAGTTCCGGTCCAGTAGTGTGCGCACGTTCCAGCACCCGATGCTGAGTGCTTTGCGCGCAGGCATACGATTGCATTGGTGGGCAATCGCACGCGAGGTGGTCGTTGTGCTTCGGAGGTTTGCTTGAGGGACTCCACCCGGAGCCGTTGGCTCAATAGCCTGACCCACAAGGCAGTGGGTGGTTTGGAGGTTTGCTTGAGGGACTCCGCCCGGAGCCTTTGGCTCAATAGCCTGACCCACAAGGCAGTGGGTGGTTTGGAGGTTTGCTTGAGGGACTCCGCCCGGAGCCTTTGGCTCAATAGCCTGATCCACAAGGCAGTGGAGAGCAGATCCAGCTCGGGAATGTGATTGCAGAGACAGATTGGGATCTGCTTGACAGCCGTCACACGCAGCCTTTGAGGTTCTGGAACAGTTATCATATGTTTTGCGACCGTAATTGGATACGCACCTGCGACCACGGCCAGACGCAGGTGGGTTTTTGGCAGGTTTGCACCAATTTGATCAGGGGTTGCCTGG